TTTAGTTATAAGAAATTTGATGGCTTGTTGTTTATCCATTTTGTTAATATTGTAATTTTAAGCAGCAGTGTTATGGTATATAGATAAGTATTAGTAAAAATAGAAGCCTTGTTGTTTAAGATTAGTTTTAATAATGTTAGAAGAACAAGTATACACTTCTGCCTTTGTTACTAGTTCATTAAGAGTCAAAGTAAGAATTGGTTTTGTGAATATTGCTTTGTGTTTGTCTTTAATATAAAATATAGATGTATCAAGAAAAGGTTCATCTCATGTTTCAGTATCTTCTTTGGGATAGGTTTTGTAGAATGTTTCAAATATATCTTTAATAAGTGTAGATGAGTTGTGTGTAGGTTGTAGTATAAAGGTTTTCTTTGAATTAGTATCAGCTTCTTTTGTTTTTCCTTTTGTATCAGTTGGTTTAAGATAGAAACATTTAGAGTCTATATAGGTAAGTGCATAATAATTAGCATATCTAAAAGTTTTATAATGTCATTCTTGAAGATTATTTGGTTTTATGAATTTAATATTAGTTAGTAGAAGATTTTTTAAGTGCAAGATAAAGTGTTGTCTGAATTTATATTTAAGGTAGTTAAACACTTTGGTTTTGTTAATTGTATTAAAAAATTGTCATCTATATAATAAAAAGGTTTTCTCAAACTATTCATTAAAATGACTAAATAAATTTTTTTTTGATATTAAGATGACCTCTTTGGTCTTTTGACTTTTATTAATCATTTATTGGTATTGTGGTTCAATGAACCTCTATAGGAGAGCATACAATTGGTTATATATATAACTTTTCTATATTACCTATTTAAAGAGTCTGCCCAAAGGTTCCCTACTAATTGCTGTACCTAACACTTCTGCTTGGATGTTTCACTTTAAACTCTCTGAACCTGTAACCTGTATTAACATCACTAAGTTATCCTATATGTCCAGATCATCATTTCAACCTTAGGACTAATTTATCCTTAAGGTAAACCTTCTAGAGCCTTCTGTACCCATTTTTACAGCTAACCTAGGTATCACTATAGCAGAACTAATACTTGCAGTCAGAGCTGATCATTAAAGTACTATGCTCTTGTAGAGTTCACACAAACTCTAATATTTACTTTACAACATATCTGAAATACTTTAGTATATCTTTGCCAGTTCACCAAACTCCTAATCTAGATAGCTCAATAGGACTTACAACTGGTTTATTGGTATATCAGGTTAGCCTGATATTCTTTTCCTTCTGCTCAATCTGACAGCCTGGTTGGTAGTACCCCCCATCCAGAGGTTTTTGCCCATCTGGCTACTTTAACCTTGGTATCCATTTCATAAGACTAACTTTTACAGTAGGGCCATCGAAGATCTGACTACCCCTCTACTCAGGTCTTCCCAAATAGACTTCTTGTTACCCAATTTCAATGAATTTACACAACTATAAGGATTTATCTAGTGTTTGCATTGCCCAATTGCCAGTTTGCATTTCTTCATATAACTACATCCTTGTCCCAAAGGACAATGTCATGTAACCTATTACATGAATGCACTATGACCTACCAGTTATGCTGGTATGACCATCATTACAGGTATCCAAACCTAATTGTTAGTAACTGTTGCTGAAATATGAATATTATATAGATGATTATCCAAATTTTTGCCATCAATGGGATTTGAACACCCAACCTACCACTTGGAGGATTGACAATCTGACCACTTCACTAGGTTGCCACACCTTATGACTAAATGAATTTTTAAATGATAGTATATTATATTTGTTAAGAAAAAAGAGATTTTGAAAGATTAAAATTTAGTTTGATATTGAATCGATTATCTATTTTAATAGAAAGGTATTGTTGTTTTTTGTCAAAGTTAGTAACCTCAGATACTATTTTAAACCTTTTAGGTCTGAGTTTGATATTTTTAGTAAATTTTATATAGTTGATTGTTTGATAGTTATTAGAAAGATATAAATATAAATAAGTAAGATTAAAACAAAATTGTGATCAGTTTTTATTTTTAATTAGTGGAATTGTAGTAAAGAAAACAAATATTTCAGGATAATTGAGTTTGGTAAAAAAGATGATTGTAAATGTATAAATAAGTTTTTTAAAACTCTTTTCAAAAATATTGAAAGAAATTGTTATAGCTTTATCTGTTTTAGCATTGTGGTTTTGAATTAGGTCAATAAGAAATTTTGGTTTGGTACCAGCCATTTGTCTAATTAACAAATAGAAACTAGTTTTAAGTGTATATTTTGTTTCCATGGCTTCTTTAAAGATTTTACTAAGATAAAAATTATATAAATATTCTTTTAGAAAATTGAAAAGTTGATGTAATATCTCAGTTTCTAATTTTGTATAATTTTGCATTTCATCAGTGACTGGGAAATTTGTTAGTCAGTCAAATGATAGATTGAGTTTAGGTTTGCTGCTTGACTATAGGATTGTTCATTTGATTTTTGGTATTGTTGTTGTTGTTCATTATTACTTGTTTCATCTATAATAAGAATAAGAGGTATAAGTTTAGAAATAAGAGGATTTTTGGTAATAGGTTATTTTTAATATGGATTTTGTTGTTTTTGTTGTTTTTGTTATATTTGTTTTAGTAATTCTAAGAATTTTTTGAAAATTAAAATTTTTTCTTCTTTGGGTATTGTAATAAGTTTAATTACAAGAGTGGTTTGAATTTGTATAAGAATAAGTGCTTTAGTTTGAGTAATAGATTTGAGTTTAAGTTTGTAAATATATTTAGGATGTACTAGAAATTCTTTAATAATAAGAATAGATTTGTCAAGAAGTGAGTGTATATTATTTTCTAAAAAAGTATCTAAGATGTTTTTATTTTAACAAATAATACAAGTATATACATAATAAAAATGTGCTTAGATTTGAGGAGTTTGTTTTAACTAGATGAAGTTCCTTATTGAGTTGTGGAATAGTTCGAATAAAATGATAAAGAAGAGACAGTAGTTGTTTTTGTAATTGGTGATTGAGGAATAATTTCTTTAAGTTATTTAACTTATTTAGGTATGATGTCAATATCTATATATGTGGATTTTTGAGAAAAAGAAAGAGGAGTTGCTTGTCTAGATAGAATATTAAAATTACTAGAAATAAAGAGAATATGGAATTTTTGGCAGTAACAGTGAACAATAATAGGTTGAATAGGAGGTTTAAAGTAGTGAAGAAATTTAGCAATATTGTATTCGAATAAGTTAAATGCAAATAACATCATTTTAAGTTATATAAATTGCACTTCTCAGATAATTGTACTATAATGATCACTGTACTTGTTATAGAAATAGTCAAGATCAAAATTATCTGATTCTTGAGTAGTCAAAGTAGACATTCTATTTAATAAAGAAAAAAAAATATTACAGATATACTTAAGAATGAAAGTTAATATTACTTAGTAAAATTTTTTATTATTAACTGTTGAAGTTGCAAAAATACTGTTCCTGATAGATCATCGGTATTGTTCCTGATAGGGTGGAAAAAAAATTGATCTACATCCCGTTCCTGATAGACTGCCAGGTGGATGTTACACAAACTGTCAAATTAATCAAAGCATGCTAACAATTATCAATCTTTTAGATATTGAAATATTTAAACATTAAAGAAATCTAACTATACAAAGAAACATTTTACTTAACTTTGTTACAAAATTATACTGCTACTTTTTTTGATATACCCAATTGCTTATCACAGTATTGTCGAATTATTGCAATCAGTGGCATCTGAATTTGCCAATATTAATTACAATTAAGTATTTAAGGCATAACCATAATTTAAAGCTCTTGATTTTATGTGAACAAGCTATGTGGATTTTTTTTTTGTCTATCAGACAAAAAAACTATTTAGTTGTATTAAGCATAAGTGTCAACCTTTAAGATTTATATAGTTGTCATGTATGCAAACTATCTACATATTAAGAAATATACAAAACTCAATTAAGAGATTAATTAATACTGATGTATACTACAACACCCTGCTTAATCATGCAAAACAATTGGTTCCAAGGGAAAAGGGCACCTTCGTTGTTTTAAGCAAATATAATTTTAATATCCTTTTTTCTTGGCAGCCTTATATAAGACAGCTATCCAATAAATAAAATCTATAGCACTTTTATTTTATTTATTTTGTTTAAAAAAAAATTGTTCTGACTATAATACTTACCCTTATATTGCCTATTATTCTCTGGTGTAAGTTTTTCTTCCTTGTTTTCTTCCTGTTAGATATTGGAATTGTTTGTTGAAACATCAGCATTCTCTTGAACAATAAACGTCAATGAGTTCCATGCTTCATCTCTGTTAGCATTAATGTTAGCATGACAAGCAATTCAATTGAATCTTACTTTTAGAGACCATAGAGGATCACTCAACAAATGCACAAGATTCTTAAGTTGAAAATTGACTGATCTGTTATTTAAGAAACACATATAAGCATACAGTGGTGCATGCCCTGAATTGACGCATAATTACAAAATAATCCTGCTAAAGGATTTTGAATATACAGATTTTTCAACTAAGAATTTATAAACTCATATTTATATCTACTGTATTCTTTCTTATAAACTAAGGATTCGTAAACTAAGCATATATTTCCTTATAAACTGAGGATCATAACCCAATTCTTTTTTATAGACAAAGGAATCTTGGGATCTCATAGTTCTGTATAATTATCACATATTTATTAAGAATAATTCATATTTTATAAAAACAGCTTTGCACAAGTACAATATATATAGCTATTTTAAGTTGTTTAAGCTGTTATTGCATTAATTCATTTCTTTTGTTGGAAAGAGAAAGGAAAAAGCAAAGCATAAAGATGAGACTAAAGTTAAGTATATTACGTTTCTTTTGCATTCTTCGCCTGGATTTTTCTATTACTAATCCACCAATATAATTTCACACCATTTTCAATGGAATTATCATTCAAACATAGTCTTTTTGTTACCACAGCATTTGTAAACTCTTTTGGATTCCAATTACACCCTTGTTTAAGAAATAATTATTCTAATGATCTCTTCATCGCTAAAGCCATGTTATTTTCTTTTTCGCTATTTGATGTACATGACTAAAAATAAAAATAAAAATAAATATATAATGATAAATAAATTAAAGTAAAATTAACTAACGCTAATAGACCTACAGATTGAGTGGAAGCTCTATGCTTATTACGAATTCTTGTAGTATTTTGTCTATGAACAGAAGGTGGAAGTTCTATAAATTTAAATATGTTAATAAGAATTCTTAAATTAATTCTAATATACTTGTTGAATTTAATACCTTTATATTCATCACTCTGAGCATATTTTGCAGATTCAGCAAAAGAGTCATCATATTCGTCATCATAAGCATTAATATTTTCAGTATCGCAAGTGTAATCTTGGTCGAGGTTGTTTAAATAATTCTTTGGTAACTTGTTATTTAGAGGTTTTTCAACAAGATTTGAAAATCAGCTAGGTTTATGATATTTTGCTCCATATATTTTTGGTGCTCCGACCATTATAGGAATTGAAATATTGTCAATTGGATGAAAAGGATCTTTTGTAGTTGTTTGATGTTCATTTGAAATAAAATATTATTACCTACAGCATTAAAGAGTCGTAAAATCTCTTGATAGGCTTGTTCACTGGACCTATTGTAAATAAGATAATTTTTATTCTCTGATGCAATTGCTCTCTCCTTATTTTTGAAATGCTCTACTAATTTTTCTTTAATATCTTGTTTTTGTAGTTTTCTACGTGATAAGTCTATATAAATTCGTGCTGCATAAATGTGTTTACAAGCATCTCTAAATGATCCATTCCAGACATAATCATAACATATGCACTTATTAGTTGATATATTAATGAGATAATGAGATGCTGGTATGTTAATATTATCATGGTTGATTAATTTAATAATCATCTTATCAATTTGTTTTGACACCTCTGTTGAAATATTAATGTAATGATTATTATAAGGTGAGCAAAATATTGTGTTCTGCTTTTAACAAACATATAATTTGTTTGTTTGGGTATTAGAATAATGAAATCGAGTAGTGCATAAAGGCGACCTTGATTTATACAATGTTTTTGATCGATCAGCTTTTTGAATAGCATTTGTTTGTGTTTAATCATATGCATATTCCAATAAGTTGCCAGACCCACATCAGATAAAGTTTCACCTAGCTCACTTTGAACCAATGACTTTTTAATAAATTTGACACCATATAAACACTCAATGAATGATAAAACTGTCTGAATTCCACTATGCCATGATTCTATAGTTTTATTCATTCTCTCTGTTAAGTTATTTGTTGTCATAGGCTTTGCACCAGTTAAAGCATACATTTGTGGTTCTCGCCCTCCATCAATAAAACCTTGCCTCCATTCATTGCAAATCCAATTCATTTCCAAATCACGAATCAAAAGATTTTTAACATTGTCATCAAGTGGTAAAAAGTATATAAACTTCTTATATTCGTTTCCCATTTCAGCTGCCTCATTGTCAGATTTACTTTAGCCTACAATTTTGAAAGCCAATGCTATAGGATATCGTAAATTCCAATCAACTTTCTATTGTTATAAATGTTCTTCTAAAGTTGACATTATATGAAACCAACATAAGATAGTACCACGAACAAGATTTTGTAATGCAAGTTTGGTCGGCCGATGCTTATCTATCATAGCTAATGGATTCCAATATAATATACATTCACATATATGCTTAAATCCCCGCCCATCTGGCAAATCAATATATCGATATTGGTGCATACAATGAGGATTATTGCATGGAATATTAGCCTTTACTGCCTGTACTGCTAACTGTATTGTATAATGGTTTTCTTTATTACTAAAACCAAAAGCCAGTGGAGAACTATATCCAGCCTGATCCTTGATAATCATAAACAATACTAGTGCATCTTCATTATTTAAATCATATTTAACATCAATTCCAAAACAGAATTGTCCATAATCACAGCCTTGACTAAGCCATAATTTATCACTTAAAGTTAACTGATAATAGTATTCTGGACTATTTTTTGAAGCTGAGACGTCCTGACATTGGTAATAAAGAACTTTTCCTTGTATTTTCAATTCTGAAGTAAGCAATTGATTCAAAATAGTCCATGGACTGGCATCTTCATATAATTGATGATCATCTTTTTTAATAAGCCTTTTTAATTGTTGTTCATTGCACAAATCTTTGCCTGATTTATACACATGTCGAAGATTGATCTCGTCTGCATTATTGTATGGGAATAAGACTTTTAATGCAATTTCTGTTCCAGAGGTACGGTGTCCACAATGTGCAGCTATTGCCATATCACAAGTTTGAAGACTCAAATTGATTCTGCCTAACTTTGGTTCTGCTGCAGGTATTGACAATGATCTATATGTATTCTTAATAACTAACTGTACTGGTAAAGGTTCTTCAATGTCAGAAAGCATAACTTTCATAATAATCTGAACTGCGCATTTGTGCATATCGAAATCATTTTTAAGGTTATTTTTTAAATAAAAATTTGGACATTCGGATTTACACTCTCCAAGTCCACTATATGCTCTTTCACAATCATTACTGCCATTACAAAAAAGAAGTCATCTCCATACTGTTAGATCTGATGCCATGTGTTGTTTTATTTTAATCACACAATCACGACCTTTATTGGTAAGCTCAAGTATATCATCTAATCTATTTGTCATTTTAATTTGTCCTTTACTAGTTTTCTATGCAAGATAATCGATAGCATCTTCAACCTGTTTCAAAGTAATAAGTCCAGTCTTGACATTTTCATTGACATAAAGCCGACTTGTTTTTTTAGTTTACAATTTGTAAATAAAGGTAGTGAATTAATATACGTTTCAACTGCACGTCTGAATGGTAAATTAACGCTTCCATCACTGTTAATACAATGTTAAGGAAGTGGATATATTGTACTCATTATCTAAAAAAAAATAAATAAATAAATAAAAAAGAAAAAAAGAAAAAAATTGTAATAAACCTTTAACTATTATAAAGTATTTCAATTAACTGCGTATTTTTTAATTAATGCGATAATATATTTCAACTTACTTAGGTTTTAATTTTTATATAACAGCATAAGTTTGATAATTTTGCACTATTATATATCCACTTGAAAGTAGACATCCTCTTTCTTCTATTATTCTCAATTTAAATATACTTAACGCGTTTATTTTGTTAATAACACCATCTCACCTACAAGTTCACGAGACAAAAGCATACTTAAATAAAAGATGTTCCTTTTTATACTTATTACATCATCGATCACTCTTCATATCAGTTAAAATCTAGCGAACAATATACTTATTACTATTTGTATTTAAAATGCAATGACGATCACCTAAATAAATAAATTACTTTGATCAATAATCGATCGAATTAAAAGCACCACATATACAGATATAACGAATGATAAGAAAACCTGAAATAAATATCAGGTTCAATAATTCTCCCCCGTGATTAATCATATTATAATAAAAAATACAAATTATGCTGGGACTTCTATAGTTATTAATTGGTAATAAATATTATACAATTATTATGTTATATTTTAAGGTAGTAGTTTATTGTATTTGCTGATTTCTAATTTTGATATAAATAAAGAACACCTTAAATATGCGCTGAAATAATTAGATATGATTGGGTTTTTATCAGGTATTGAATAATCGGTTGTAATAAATCAAGAAGCATTGAAATAATTAGATATGATGGTTTTTATCAGTTATTAAATAATCATTTGTAATAAATCTTAGCCCGTTAAGCACTAAGGTTTTAATTTATATACATGAGACTCAAAAGCTGTATTGTTATTAATAGATATGGTATTAATATACGTAGTAATTAGGATGTTTATTACCCTTATTACACTATTAGACAAATTTGCCTGTATGAACATAGTAAACCTATGATACATATATATAAATATAACACTTTGAATAAATTATGATATAATATGTATTATCTTATTTCATATCGATATAGATTACTATGTCTGTTACGCTTTACCCAAATATTTAATTATTAAATCTACTATTAACGTTAATGTTAAAGCAAAATTATATTAGTGCCAATATGGAGTTTTGTGTAACATCCACCTGGCAGTCTATCAGGAACGGGATGTAGATCAATTTTTTTTCCACCCTATCAAGAACAGTACTGACGATCTATCAGGAACGGTATTTTTGTGTTGAAGTTTTTAATATATAAAATTTATAATAGTAAGACTTGACTTGACAGGAGTATAATGTAATACTAAAGCTACTGTGGCTACTGCAACTGCTGTAGCTGCTATAGCTTTATATAACCTTGAGAATAATTTTGTATAACCTATATAGACAAGGTGTAGCTGATATGGCAAATATAACTTGATGTAACAATTTAGTTACATATTCCAAAAAAGCCTTGTAATAGTGTATAAAATCAAATTAGTAAAAGAAGAAAAACCAATAAAAAATTGTATACTATTTTAAATAATATTAATTAATTTACTATAAAAATAATTGTAATAATGATTTAATATTATACAAAAATCATATAAGAGAAAAAAAATTGGGAGTAAAGGAAAAAGAATTTTTTAAGAAATTTACAAGAAAGCTAAAGTTGTTTTTTAAGGTATTTCTGTTAATATTAGGTCTATTGGGTTCATTTAGAACTTGTTTTAATTGAAGAAGTGAACTCTACAACTTTACTTAGGACTATAGAATAGATTGTAAAGCTAATTGTCAAGAAATAATTAAAAAAAAGTTTAAAAATCTAAAGGCTGTTATTGCAGTATTAAACTGTAAGTTTGAGAGTTATCTCTTTAAAACTTTCAAAATATATATAAATTAGGAGCTGAGCAAGTTTACTTAAGATATCAAAGTTAGCTATCTTAATAAAATAACCAGATATTAATAATTTTAGTACTGACAGATTTTTAGTTATTTTGTGTAAAAATAATTTATAAAAAGAGTTCGATTGCTGCTTTATTTTATATTAGATCTTCAAATCATAAAAGCATAGTAAAATTTATTCTATTTGAAAATTTAATATATTTAATAATAATATATCTTATTTACCTTATAAGTCTTATTGAATATATCTAAAAAATTTATACAAAGATCATTACTACCAAAATTAACACAATATTTTATTTTTTCATTATATAATTATATAACTTTATTAAATAATAACATATTTATACCTATTTATATACTCAATAATATTATTAATAATATATCATATAATCAGAAATTAATATAATTTTTGTTTTAAAACATAAGTAAAGCTATAATTCTATTAATTTAACTCTTTTTTAAAAATCTTTTCAATATCTTGACTTACTTCATTCTATTAATAATATCATTATCAATCTATTTACTAATTGATAAAACTAAGTTATTACAAATTTTGATCTTATCTCATTATATTCTGTATTTAAGGATAGGGGTAATGTAGATTATTTCTATATGAAAATGTATGGTATTTTAAAATTTTCATCTAAAATTGATATATGCTACTAATAATTTTTTTTTATTTTTTAATTAATCAATAAAAAAATTTTATAATATTATAAATAAAATTATTTATCTATTATAGTAAAA